TATCATAACTGCACTAATGTTACACCTAACCACTTAACATTCTAGAAAACTTCTTAATATATCTCTAGACCTTGAAATAGGACAGAATAAAATCCTGACAAGACAAGAAACATCTGTGACTTGATTTTCTAAAGACTTCATGGCTTCAGTAGAATTAATATAAGTATTCAGTTTTTCTTTTATAATGGACTGTATTCATTCATATTCTAACAGTTCACAGAAGTCATAAATATATTTTACAGTAATGGAGCCACACAATTTTCTGTATTGAAGCCATGGCAAATTGAGATTATCACTCATACAAGAGTATATGTTCAATGCAAAAGGAATAAAAGTATTCATTAAGTTCCCTCCAGCTTTGCTGAATGTTTCTATAACCAGAGTATGAATTTATAATCTACCATTGCTTCCCAAATTTCTATGTATATGGGAAAATAAGAAAAAAAAAAAAAAAAAAAAAAAAAGAACGAAGACACAAGAATAATTTTATTTCACTCTATACCAGGTATCTCAATAGGTATCTCAATGCATGATAGTCTAGCCTTAGCTATGAGAATTAAGCCTTAAATTTTTGAATTCAAGACATACTACAGTACTGATTTCTGCAGGTACTATTTTAGTCTTTTCAATATTCTATGCTTTGTTTCCTGTTTATTGCTCTATTTGCTTACAGATTATTAAAACTATAATCACGAAAAATTGTCCCTAGCAAATCAAATTCCAAAAAGCTAACAAAATCAAAAACAATGCTGTTTACTATTATCTTTCAGAGAATATATAACTCTTTTGACAGTTATTGAGAAGAATGTGAAATGTCATAAACTCATTATCATTACAACGATTTTCACAGCAACTGAAAATGATATGAATTCAACACAGTTGTGTCTACATTCCCAAACTAGTTAGTCTGGCACCATTCATCATGACTAATAGTCAAGAAAGGATGTAAAACAGAACTAGGAAGGTTTACTCTTGGCCAGCTTTCACCTGTGGTAGAAATATTTCTGTAGCCTCTCGCTAAATAAACAATCAATAACAATGAGGGTTTTTACTGAGGGAGAAGAAGGGAAAAGAAAAAACTGGAAGAAAGGGAAAAATGAAAAATTTTTGTTTTAACATTTAAATACTTTTCAATCCTTAGAAGCACTGCAGCATAGCATAACAACGCAAAAAACACGTGCTCTTTTTATTTCTCATAGAAATATGAGAAGGCTGCAATTATTTTTGAATACATGCACTTGTCAACTGTAACAAGATGTGGACAGAAGCAATGAAAAAGTCTTAAAGATTATCAAGCTGAAACTTAAGTGTAAAATTTTTGCTGCTTTCAAGCCGAAGTGAAAATCTGATTACCTCAGAAGATCTGATGGGGCCAGATTGCCTGTTAGATAAATCAGTAAAATTCATAGATGTAATGCAATACAAACTTGTTTTTTAAGCAGCATTAATATATCAATATATCACAAATCTTTTAGTAATTGACTGGTCCCTTTTTTTTTTTTTTTGCACAGCAGTTTCTTGGGTTTATCAATCATAGGTCATATTTTTTACTCTGTCTTTGAAATAAAGTTATGGCAGAATCTAGAATAAACTTAGAAGAGAAGCAGGAATATTTGTTCTTGTTCCTGTTTTCAGCTTGGCCATTAGATGAGGGCAGTCAATACAGTGACCTGGTCCTAGTGGGAAATCTACTGAGAGAAAATGCCTACCTACTTTTGCTACCTTAAAATGTATCTCATGACTATTTGAACAGCAGGGTGAAAAAAAAAAAAAAAAACAGCCAAACTAAGGGAGATGTCTTTGGAAGAAGAAATGATAACCCTTACCTCTTTGTTCATCTGTCAAAAATTTTCATAAAGAACATTCTTTAATCATGCTTCAGATACAACTTTTTATCCGCTGTAGGCTTTGTATTTGCAGCCACCTCGATTATAGCTAAACCTCTGAAGTTATCTAAAGTTATAGAATGCTTTCGAGGTATATGCAAGTATCAGCTTATAAATAAACTAGGTCATATAAATATGTAGCATCAGTGTTTTTCACCAAGTAGAGAATACATTAATAGTGAAATATTTTAGTCCAAAGAACATGATATAGTCTATGTAAAACACTAACAATGCGAATACTTGTTAAGTATTAATTTTAATTTAATACTGACTTATAATATAAATATTCCTCTAGATAATTGCAATATTGTAACAGAATTTCTGTATACTCTTTTAGAGCATCATAAACAGACAATATGTTACCCTTATAACTAACTCTTCCAGTTAAGAAATCTTTTGACATATGAACTGGTTGGACTTTACCACTGTCATGTTTTAGTTTTTTTGTTTTTTGTTTTTTTTTGTTTTTTGTTTTTTTGTTTGTTTGTTTGTTTGTTTTGGTCATGGGCGTTTTTTTTTTTTTTTTTTTTTTTTTTCCTACAGTAATTTTTTTTCTGGATAAACATACTGAAAATGCCCACTTTATATATAATAATTTAAGTGTTAATCATGGCATAGCCATCTGGTGTTTGCATCTCTCCGCCTCTGCTTCTTCAGCAGATAGTATCCCCAGCTCTGCTGGCCAGAGCTAAAATTTGAATTCTTCTATGCCAGGAAAGAGTAGGTAGCTTGCTCTAAATCTTTAAGTTAAAATTTATCTCCTCAGATGAAATACTTTATCTTTCATTTCATTGTATAGCAGAGCAAGAAGCATGATCATGACTGTCACAGTTAAAATGATTTTATTACATTGGAATTTTCCAAAACCAAGAGAAAATGTCCACAATCTCTAGAATTAACATCTATTTCTCAGTGAGTACATCTGGAAAAAAAAAAAAAAAAAAAAGACTAGAAAATATTGTGTGGCACTGAATATCTTTTAGAGATAAAAAATATTTAATACATAGCATACGTCATTCCCAGTAATGACTTTGAACTCACAGGTTATATATGCAGAGTAGAAGGAAGTGGTGAATATTCTTTATAGAGATATATTCTTTTGGGAGAAAACTTTAATCCATTTACACAGAATCAAAAGTTATTATCAAGGTAAGCAAATAGCAAGTTTTGTTATTTCTGATCCACAAGACCTTGTGAAAGAAACAGAAGTGAAATAGTTCTTATTTCTCTCCTTCACAAGAGAATTTTTTTTCTTTTCATATTTCAATAAATAATCTTGTTATACAAAGAAAGTGAATGTAGGTTGATATGTGCAAGCATTTATTCTCAAGATCTGCAACTGATAATTTATATTCAGTTCAAGGTCATCTTTTGAAAAAATAGGGATTGGGAGGAGACTGGGAAGTGGCAGCAGCTCCCAGGAGTGCTCCCCAGAGAAACAAAAGATCACAATTGCACCCAAAATAAAGCATACATACACAAAGCACCTTGCATCTCCGTCCACCCCACTCTCTAAAATAATACCTTCCAATGACCCCCAATCAAGCTTTCTATGTTTGTTTCATTAGGACAAAGATGTTTCATTACATGTAAAAGCACTGTCCTCTATGACTGCTATGTCTTAGATATCCATTTGCTATTGAGTAAGATTACTGGATATTAAAATGACCGTTATTTCCTTGTTATCTCTTATGATTGTTGTTACATGGAGTCAATACAGAATCAGTCTTGCAGGCTAGGGAAGGAGGAAATGGAAGAATTTGACAAACTAAAAGCAATGCAATGAGAAGACGGGACAGATAGGACAACTTAGAAAACAAACTCTCTCAAAGAACTTAGAAGAATGATTCAAGCTGCAGAAGTGAAAGTACACAAGGATTATAGCACTTGAAATATCTGACAAAGGTAACTTTGCTGCCTCAGAAAAGCAGTAGAGTACAGAGATGACTCTATCAAGTGGAGAGGCTGGCTAAAAAAAAAAAAAAAAAA